AATGATAAATATGTCAAAAGAAATGAATGAACTCTCAGGCATTTATACGAAAGATATATGTCAACTGAGATGAATGAACTCACAGGTATTTACACAGGGAGATACGTCAAAGGAGATGAATGAAATCACAGGCATTTACACAGGGAGATATGTCAAAGGAAATGAATGAACTCGCAGGCATTTACACAATGAAATACGATATGTCAAATGAGATGAATGAACTCACAGGCATTTACACAGAGAGATATGTCAAATGAGCTGAGTGAACTCACAGGCATTTACACAATGATACATGATATGTCAAGTGAGATGAATGAAATCCCAGGCATTTACACAGGGAGATGTATGTCAAATGAAATGAATGAACTCACAAGGAGATATATGTCAAAGGAGATGAATGAACTCACAGGCATTTACACAATGAGAAATGATATGTCAAATAAGATGAATGAACTCACATGCATTTACACAATGAGATATGATATGTCAAATAAGATGAATGAACTCACAGGCATTTACACAGGGAAATATGTCAAATGAGATGAATGAACTCACAGGCATTCACACAGGGAGATATATGTCAAATAAGATGAATGAACACACGGGCATTTACACAGGGAGATATATGTCAAATGAGATGAATGAACTCACAGGCATTTACACAGGGAGATATGTCAAATGAGATGAATGAACTCACATGCATTTACACAATGAGATATGATATGTCAAATGCGATGAATGAACTCACAGGCATTTACACAGGGAAATATGTCAAATGCGATGAATGAACTCACAGGCATTCACACAGGGAGATATATGTCAAATAAGATGAATGAACACACGGGCATTTACACAGGGAGATATGTCAAAGAAGATGAATGAACTCACAGGCCTTTACACAGGGAGATATGTGTCAAGTGAGATGAATGAACTCGCAGGCATTTAAACAATGAAATATGATATGTCAAATGAGATGAATGAACTCACAGGCATTTACACAGGGAGATATGTCAAAGGAGATTAATGAACTCACAGGCATTTACACAGTGAGATATGATATGTCAAATGAGATGAATGAACTCACAGGCATTCACACAGGGAGATATATGTCAAATAAGATGAATGAACACACGGGCATTTACACAGGGAGATATATGTCAAATGAGATGAATGAACTCACAGGCATTTACACAGGGAGATATGTCAAATGAGATGAATGAACTCATATGCATTTACACAGGGAGATATATGTCAAATAAGATGAATGAACTCACAGGCATTTACACATGGAGATATATGTCAAATGAGATGAACGAACTCACAGGCATTTACACAGGGAGATATATGTCAAATGAGATGAATGAACTCGCAGGCATTTACACAGGGAGATAGGTCAAATGAGATGAATGAACTCACAGGCATTTACGATTTACGATTGGTTATGTGTGGTATAATATTGGTCACATTTGGTCTAGTAT